TGGCACTGGAAGGGAAAGAATAAGTGTCATCCCAGATTTCCATCTGATATACTCGTAAAAGCGATGGCCACTGACTACACATATCGTACCGAAGATATGGACCAACCTTAAACCCAGTACAAAAAAGCTGCATACTGAATTCGGGCAAAGACTCAGCACTTGGAAAGGATGCCGGTCTTTACCGACGGAACAAAGATGCAGGAAATTTCAATATGTTTTTTATTATGCAACTAAATTTTAAGCTATTCTTTCGCCTAACAGACCACAGCCGTTTTCCAAGCACAAACTTTGGCAATTAATGAGGCCATAAGGAACATAAAAGACCTTGCACCCATGGGAACGCTGATGAACATTTACTCACCTCTCTGAAGTTGGCAGGACATCTTTTTCTCAAAGCAAAAATTCCTATCGCATAATTTGCCGTTAATTATACGTAAATTATCCGTGAAAAGTTAGTTAAAATTATCCACGGAAGTTAGCAGGGCACGCGATATTTTATAAAATATCTCCGCGGCAAGACTACTCTTTTCACGGATAAACAACGGATAATTTACGGCAAATTATCAAATAGTTAGTTTGGGTTTAGTTGGTTTCCTTAATTGGTTTTCAGAAGGTGCCCTGCTAACTAATGCTAATATTTTTTGAAATATGTCCGCGGCAAAATTATTCTTTTCACGGATAATTTACGACAAATTATCCGATAGGAATTTTTGCTTTGAGAAAAAGTTGTCCTGCCAACTTCAGAGAGGTCATTTACTCAGGTAGCCAGGCAGAAATTTAGGCGCTCTCCACTCCTCGACTAGGTCGCATTTTGTGATGTAATGAGAGGTGTGTTTTCTTCAATTTCGAATCAATTCATCAGTCAATTATGTCACAGTGATACAGGCATTTTCTTACATATAAAAAAAAATTAAAGGAAGGAGGGAAATCACACATCGATAAATTCTAGGTGGCCGACCCCTGGCCGGTAAAATTCTTTACTAAGCCGTTTTATTTCCTAGGGTGTAGACGCGAATTTTTACTTTTAATAAGTTTTAAGGGTTTTTGGTAGGAAAAATACATGTATGTGTGGCAACACTGGTAAGGAATGAATAAGAACAAGTAAGAGCAGCGCTGTCTTCGGCTATGCCGAAGGCTTCATACCTTTCATGAACATCTGAAAATTTTACTTTAACAGATTACTGCATTTGAAATTATTTATATATTCACAGCATGCATAGGTAGAGGAGATAGATATATAAAAAATCATATCTAAACAATCAGAGCTATGGCAAATATGACGTATATAGCACCAATCTAAGTATGTAAACCGGTAATACAATTTAATGGGTTTTGCTTCCTACATAAAGGAGATACATATATCTCAAAAACTGGTATATGAATAATAAAAGATAAAGCTTATGCAGCATAGATTTTAACGATTTCCTTAGTAAACTTATTATGTTATTATTATGAATTGTTATTATTTATAAAATAGCTTACGAAATTTGTCGGTTTTAGCTGTCCAAATAAAGGAGTTTAACAGGAAAACCCCATATCTGAACAATTAGTTGTATGGGAGATATATGTCAAAAGTGACCCGATATTTGAAATTTTCACTGTAAGTATTCTGTTAATAATGAATGAAAATGGTGCGAATTTTCATGTTCCTAGCTGCATAAATGGAGAAGTTATGGCAAAAAATCTCGTATCTGAACAATCATTTGTATGGAGGCTATAGGTTATAGCGATCCGATCTTCGCCATTTTCACTGAAAGTAATCTTTTGATAATGTGTGACAACAGTGCAAAATTTTATGTTCCCAGCTACTTAAATGGAGGAGTTATAACGAAAAATCCTTTATCTGAACAATCAGTTTTATGGGAGCTATATGCTATAGTGGTCCGATTCTTCCGGCTCCGACAAATGATTAAAACATTATAAAAATACAACCACCTACCAAATTTCATCCGGATATCTCGAAAACTGAGAGACTAGATTGCATACAAACAGACGGACAGACAGACATGGTTAAATGGACTCAGCTCGACGTTCATTTAAGTATAACATTTTAATGGGTCTATCTCTTCTTTTTCTGGTACTTACAAACATCGGACCAAAGCTATAATACCATTTCATGTTCATGAAAGGTATAAAAATGCTTATCAAATCATAGCAGTAATCTCAGGATAGGATGTGCATACTGAAAGCCATACATATCAAAAGATTCTGCCGAAGTTGCAGCGATCCATGCGCGAAGGATACAGACGAACTATTTCTTAGAGAGTGCTCAGAACTCTCTAAAAACCAACACAAATCCTACCAAATGAAAATTTTCTAGGCATCATAAAAACACTACCAATGTAAAAAATATTCGTATAATTTACAAAAATACTAATCTAATAGCCATTGGATTTATGGCGTCTGCCTAGAAAATATTTATGCTTATAAGCCAAATAATAACAGCCAATTAAATTTGAATCCAAACAAATATATATATATATAAAACAAAAAAACTACAATAAACGAAAGCGGAAAGTGGTCATTAAAATGATCATTTCAATAGCAGACAAAATGAAGTTGGCAGATATTTTTAACTCAATAAAGCACGCAAACGAACTAACTAATTCGACTTGTGGAAAGTTCATAAATCACCGGATAAAATAAGATTATGTGCATATGCAAGTATGTATATGCGTAGACATAGTACATATTGAGTGAGTGGCAAAGGTTATTTAACGAGCGTGCGCCATATAATTTGCACGCCACAGGTGAATGTATTTTTGGGCTAGGGTAGCCCATGTTTATACAGCATGCAAGTGTTTTTAATTTTGTGGAACAAACTAAGAAAATCTATACATAACAGATATCGCGGTAGATACTAAAATATTTATGTACCTTTGACCAAAGACAACCTACATAATTATTTATTTCATTTCAGTCAACAAACAATATTTTCTATGAGTTCCATCAGAAGGTACATCCTTCTAACCGAGCTTACTCCATACTGTCAGAATAGAGTCTGTCAAACTATATTTTCAGCTCCGCTATCTTCCCCATGCTATTAAAAAGAGAAATGCTTGAAATGCCTTCTCTGGAGAGCTGGACATTGCCATAAGAAGTGTTGAATCGTTTCAACTTCATCCTCGTCCCGGCAACTACTGCAGAGGCAGTTTGTTGCCATACGCCATTGATGGACGTCATAATGACGCCGGTAAGAGCTCTTACAGCAGATTTGTTTAGTGTCACTAATTCTTCACTACGACTCTTATTGAGTCTCGGCGACAAGGATCTTGAGATCCCACAGTCGTCCCGATTGATCCATAGGTCATTATCTAAGGCTGCGGGGTATTCTTTAAACCCCCTTAGCAGAAAATAAATCGGCGGCAGTAGGGAGCTACCCGCTTCGCTAATTTGCATTTCCGACCAGTATCTAGCCATCTCTACGGCCATTTCGTTCAATTCTATATTGCTTTGTTCAGGAAGCTAGCACAGAGAGGTTTGATGTGACTCGGTCAAGCCAGCGTTGCAGGACATTTTCGAACTGTCACTTTGAACGGATAACTCAGGGCCCAATGACCTAAAGTAAACTTCGAATGAAAACCTATTGTCTAGCTTGAATCCATTCGTGTAAAAATTAATTTCCCCCTTCTCCGTGGTCTTGGTGTTTGCCAATTTCTTCTTGACGTGATGTTCCTTTTAAATAGCCTATCCAAAGTTGATTTATGTACGGAGTAGTCAATATCTTGGTTATAACTACACAAAGTGTGAAGTGTGTGATCCTTCCATAGCGTCATAATTAGTTTAAGCGCTAAAGCGGCACGCGGCGGCCGCGTGTTTTCCTACCAGATTTACTGTAGGCAAGTTGGTTCGCAATTCCAGCGCTATATTTGGGATGGTACTCAAAGCAATAGAGATGCATAAAAGCGCCGTTCTTTGGACCTTGCTCAGGAGTTTTAGGTAAGTTGCCTTTTGAGTTGATGCCCACCATACATACATATAATGGAATAAGCCTAATTGCAGAAGGACAAATCCAATAGCATTATCCTTCGAAGGAATTTTCACACCCTTGAATATTTGCGGAGAGACTGTGTTTCCTTGTGAGTTTCAGGCTTGCAATGCTTCCTACTTCCACGTATATATTTGTGTCGATCTTTACATTAATTAAATGATATATTTTTATTTATATTAACATATACACAAACTCCTTAAAAACTTTTTACGGAAAGACCAAAATTCGTTACCCCCAAATCTAAATTTGGACCACCCTAATATGCTAGGCTATTAGCTATTACTGGCATAATTTCATTAGGGCTATTCGCGATTCGGTGCATAAGAGCTGACAAATTTATGCAATTGCAGAAATATGCCATGGATTGTGAGCGACCTTTATTAAACTGTCATGGTAAAGCTTTTGCAAAACAATTTTTGTGCATCAGCTTTGGTTTTGTTTATGAATGCAATGCATAGCATTTTTATGCTATGGATTTTCGGTATTGCAAATTTGCCAAGCCATGACAAATGCAAATGCGTGTATTTTGTTTGTGTATTGCAAATAATTTGCAATACAAATTTGCAATGCAATGATGCTAGGCCATTTGCACCGGATCGCGAATAGCCCTATTGTGTTTTTAGTCTGGAGACAGAAATAAACACACAATTACGTTCGCTGGCACTTTTTCACTTTTTTTTATTTTTAATTACATACACGAATAACGGCACACCATTTAAAATCAAGCTAAATAGAAGCTTGTAATTATCGAGGGTTTATAAAAAGGTGTGCGAGGTTATCAGAGATACAGTAAATTACAAAAAATGATGCTTAAAATGAGTTTATAATTCTTTATATTTTTTTTTTTTAACTTTTTGAGTGGGACAATATTAATATAAATTATTTAAAAAGAAAATAAAAATTACCGGTCTATTAACCCAAATTTATTTTATGGAATGCATGTAGTATGTATGTATATGTATTTTTGACATTAAGTACATATTTATTCAAAAAAATCTTCGGCACTGACCTCTTTCAATAATCCACTACACTTGTAGCTTTTGATTTTCCTTTTCAAATTGTCGCAGCTCGAAAGCAAAATGTTTTGCGTTGAATGACAAATGACAATAGCACACAGCAGTTGTAGGTATGACAGATTGTTACAGACACAAACACAGCTGTTGGGTTTTTATGACAAATTTTATAATTCTAAAAGCTGCAAACACTTGGAAAATTATATATTTATTAACATATGACCGGCATATGTGGCGCACTTTTAAAATTATACGAAATTTTTTCGAGAAATATTTAGCTGGATTTTACTGCATTTGACATCGCACAGAAACACATGTCGCAGATTCTTTTCTTTCGACGGAGCTAAAAAAAAATCACATGAAAGCTGCAATTTTATGAGCAAAAAGTAATTGTAACTTTTCACTAGAAAACAATGTGCTCGGTTTCTCATTCACTTATTGCTGGAAGTCGGCAAATTATTCAATTGATAGATTTCAATTTTCTTTTCACACACCACTCGCCATTATCAATACACTGCAACAATATGGAAAAGCACTGTGGTATTAAAACCGAATTCGTAGCGCCGACAACCGTTATCGTATTTCATGCGCGTCAAACAAGCCAGAGTACCGCAACGAAGCGTATTAAAGGCGCAACTAATATGTGCGCCTGCAATGAATGTCCAACAAAGCCCCACATGTAAAATATGTGTAGCAGCAAAGAGCAGTAGCTCCGACAGAGAGGCAAAGATAAAGAGAGAGAGAGTGTGTTGTGTGCTAGCTGTAGTAAGCGAATGCGCGCATCGAATGAAAAATATGTACTAGTGTTGCCACAAAAAGTTGCCAAATTCCTCAAAAGCGAATGAAAAATCCGAACAAATTACTAAAAATTTTCTTATTTACTATTTACAGGTACTTAGCACAATTGTTCTTGTTTGTATATAATATTTCTGCAATTATATCAGTGCTCAATCTGGTCCTCAAGTCAGCCGTACACATTTTTAAACTACTAAATATACGTTCTACTGAAGCATTAGAAAACGACTATATTAGTAATTCAGATATAATTTTTCTAATTGGGAAACTTATATGAACTTGAAGAATAGTTTAATTCAAAAACCTTCTGCCTATAATTTTCTGGATCTAATGAAGAATGAATATAAATATCCTTATGATCGAGCAAGTCGTTATCGAGATTTTGCAAGTTCAAAATAAGTTGAAAATAGAACGATGGAATGAAAAAATCGATAATATTTTGAATATTTAGCAACAAATACAGATGTGCTTAAGAGTGAAAAACCCACACACGCGGCTGAACAAACCAAGCGAAATATCCCTTTGTTCAAAGCTATTTATGTTGTATATGGGGGGCTTTGAAGGTTTGACAAGCCATTTGCGGGAAATGTGAACAAAAATAAAATTGTTTTGATTCTCTGGCCGCCATGTTGACGTTTGATCAAACCGCTTACGTTGTGTATTATAAAATCGCCTCATTCGCAACGGAATTTTTACCGAATGAGGACGCAAGAGAGAAAAATTGAAGAAACCTAAACCCTTTTACATTGTGAACCGGAAGAAAGCTAAAATTCTTTGCTTGGACGAGTCATGTTTGCTTGGTGTATGGCGAAATGGGAATATCAGGTTTGAAGAATGTTTGAGAAGTCGCTTGTGTGGCGTATTTCGCTCGTTATAAAACTTCGGAGTTTTTTATTCAAAAATTTCCAGAGCGATTTAACAACTTTCTTATGTAAAACATGGTTGCATTTGTTATCTGAAATATATCTAGAGAAATTCTTCAAAAAATACTCAAGCGCTCCCGAAATTCCTGGCGTTTTGAGGAATTACTCACAAAGTGGCAACACTGATACATATGTACCAAAAGGGAAGCGCATTTAAGAGTAAATTTGGTGGCGAATGAGCGTCAGTGCCCTCACGAGTAGGATATCAAATATACGAAGAAAGGCAAATATAAATAAATAAATACGAATTATGTGGCGGAACAATTTTTGTGAAAAATATTAAAACACAATTTTTCTTGGAAAAGCATATGTAGTTCGATTATCGCCCAAATGCTATAGATACAACTCTTCCTAACTCGGCGGGCTGCCAAGGCTCAAACAGCTATTAAGTTCCCCAGTTCTTGCGCCTGTTTTTTCTTTTTATTTCTTTTATTTTTCACTCTTTTTCCTCTCGCTTTCTTGCCATTTTTCTCAATTTGATTGTATTTCTTTTCAGCTATCCACATACTTACAAATTCATGCACTCCACCGCCGAAGCCACAGCTGTCGCCGTCTTGAATTTCGCATTTCAATAAATTTTTATCATTTCACATTACACATTTTGAAGGCGTCGTCACTGCGCAAAGTAGTGCAACAATTTTTAATTGCGCATACGTGTGGCGCGTATTTACCAGCAGCAACAATATTTCGCTTGCTTGCGGTTTCTGATTTCACATTGCCATTCAGCAGCAAGAGTAGTATATACATAATAGCAAAAGCAGTAGCAGCAGCATCGGATCGGCAGGCAATAAAGGCAGCGTCACGTCACAGTGGCCATCGTCGCCGCCATCATCGCATATAAACATCATCGACACTTTGCTGCCGCGGCCACAAATTCAATTCATTTTGTTTTCTTTTTCTTTCGCTGCGTGTTTTAGTGTTTTGGCTGGTGGAGCACGTAATGCGTGTATTTTCTGATTCACGCATACAACAAACAGCTTGCACGCTCTCTCGTCTGCACCCTCTCTCTGCCTATTTCACTCGCCCTACAATGAATAAGAGAATTAAAAAGAAAAAAATGTTACCAAAGAGAAAATAGTTCGCTTTCAACACATCATACTTTATCGCCATAACATCCCTGGCCTAGTGTGGGCAACGACAAATTGTTATTGTTGTGCGTTTCAGTGAATTATTTTTATTTGAAGTTTTTTTCTGACTGTTTGTTTTTACTCGTTTCGCTTTGTGCTGCGTTAGCTGTAATGTTGTTGATGGTTTCGATAATGTTGCAGCGCTCTGTTTGCTTTCGGTTACTTCCACTGATGTATGGACTGTAGATTTTGGAGATAGCTAAGTAAGAGGAATTAGTCATCTCGTTTGGTGATTTTTTTTTTTTAAAGAGATGTGTTGTTTTAAAAGTGATTCTCAAAAATCAGCGGGGAAGTCTTTGTTGTGATGGTCATCTTAAACAGCTACGACTCGAGCTTCATACTAAGCTAAGTGCGCTTCTTTCTTAGTAAGTAAATAAGGCAGCCGATAGGAAGCCCAATGGGAAATTGAAGTGAGTATATAACCTCTCTTGCCCAAACGCCAAGAAGGCTCGCTTAGGGAAACGAATTTCGATACGATACGATACGATACCATATCGATACTTTTGGCATTCGATGCCGATATTTTACACTCGATAGTTTTAAAACGATATTTTTTGGAATCGAGTACCAGAACCCTAGTATCGTATTGAATGTCGTAAATTCACATTACAAGGATAATGTTATTAACAATTCTTCCCGATATAAATTGGGCTTTAAAGAGCAGAAATTTGTAATATAGCTAGGATTGCATGTGGTGGAATTTGACCCCGCGACCTCGGTGTTTTAAGTTAACGCATCAATCTCTACGTGCTGTTACACAATATGTTAGTGTTTGACCGAGATTCTCCTCCGATTTGTCGTGCGCGCCTTAATGTTGTGGCACAAAAGGGGTCCCTACAGTTTTATGTCGACTCTGAACGACGATTTTGATTTAATAGGAGGCTGGTTTTCATTTTCAAGCTTTGCGCACTGCTAACCATTACACCACAGCGGCCTATATACGAGACCTATATTTAGATAAATTTTTTGGATTTTGGTATCGATATTTGGAATATCGAGTCTTTTTATTCCGATATTAATGGGTACCCGATATTTTTGAAGCGATAATTTAAATGAGTACCATATCGATACTTTCTGTTCGATATCGTGTCCCTAGGCTCGCTCGACTGGGTACGAAGAGAAATATCTTTGCCTATGGCTGAGTTCCCGTAGATGGGTCAAGAGGGACCTCTACAGGATAAGCAACGACGAACCATAAGACGGACGAAGCTCAGAAGCCTTTGTTCCCCAGAAGGGTGGCTCCCTTGTCTGCTTCTGATCCATATTGGGCGACCGCACTTTTATACCTGCCGGTACATATAAACGAAAAACTTACCACAAGGCCGCAGCTGGACAAACTCCCTCCCGCTGAGTCAGCTTTGTCAGAAATCGGAAGAACCTGAGGGGCCAGCGGCAGCGACGAAAGCTCCTCCAGATCTTATCAAAACTGACAAAATGTATCGGAGGAGAAAGACGGGGTATGAAAGCACTCAGGTCCATCACATCGGGAAATCGGAGAGCGTGAAAGTGCCTTTGACTAAATGCGGACTTACTGTTAGACAAATGGTCCTCAGGTTATCGTTGCGAAAGCCGGACGTGAGCAACTGCAACGACTTTCTGGCCAAGAATGAACCAAACGCGGACGAGAATCCGCTTGGGTTCACAAAGCCGCAACTCCAAATTCAACGGAGTGTACTGACAGAACACAACCCGATCGGTATTCACGCTTTATCGCATCTGTTGGAGCGACGTTGAAGAGGACATCGCCACACTTCCCTTAAGCTGTCCGAACACACTCCTTTCTGGGGTTCTGGGCACATCAGCGTACCTCAAGGGTTGTCCCATACGAATTTGGTTCAGTTCCGATTATTATATCGTGAAGAAATGAACGGTACTCCTAAATTTTTATATAAGTTTGACGGCGGTTGTCTTTTTTGCTTAAAAATTACTTGTAACAAGTCTCAAAGAGCAAAGTGAAATCGAAACGATTATGCAAAACAATACGATTGCAAGCGTGACTAATAAATAAACTGTGACAAAAGACATCTAACTATGTACCAGGTAAGGGCTACTGAGCAAGCAGAGAGCTGCAATGTAGTTAGCGTAGAAAGTGAAAAATGAGTCCCAACATATGCGAAATTAATGTAGCGTAAATGGCATGCAAAATTAGAAAATGGTGAATAAGTAAATAGTATATTACAAAAAAGAAAAGCTGTCGTTACGCAGCGTTAAACTGAAAAGTAGTACTTGCTATACTAAAAGGTTGTTGATAGGCTGGGAGTTGGCGAGAGTTCAAGCTACAACTCAACCAATGCCGACCCTGAACGAGCACAAAATACTCGGAGTTACCTTCGATAGTCTGCTCTCTATCTCGGCACACACAACCTCTATTGTCAAAGAGTACAGAGTAGCAAGAAGGTCCACAAGCTGCTAGCCGGCAGCACCGGAGGCCAAGACAAAGAAACATTGTTGGTAACATACAAGGCAATTGGGCGGCCGGCAGGACGCAGTGGATGAAGCTACAGACCTGCTAGAACACGGCACTCCGCACCGCCACGAGATGCTGTCTGATGTCGCCACAGTACCACCTACATCCATGACGAGGCTCAAATCCTCCCCGCCAATGAGCACAACAAAATGCTAAGAAAGCTGCAGCTAAACGAACTAACGGACAAAGTCCAGAGGTTCATAAAAAAAACTCTGCAGACGTGCCGAATGAGTGTTCGGCATCCGGAGAGTCACCTGACGACTCGCGACACCGCTTCACGTGCCCTCTACGACTCAATGAGTCTAAGGCCTT